ACTCTCATGGTAAAAAATTTTTTCCTAATATCCAATCAATCTACCTCCCTCTATTTTAAAACCATTACCCCTTGTCCTATCACAACAGGCCTCCAACAGCCTCTCCCCATCTTTCTTGTAGGCCCCCTTGAGGTACTGGAAGACCGCTATAAGGTCACCCCGGAGCCTCCTCTTCTCCAGGCTGAACAGCCCCAACTCTTTCAGCCTGTCCTCATAGGAAAGGTGCTCCAGCCCTCTTATCATCTTCATGGCCCTCCTCTGGACAAGAGGCCCTTCGTGGCCCTTCTCTGTAACAAGGAGAAAGAGTAAACCTTGAACAGACCAAGGTCAGACAGAAACTTCTTGGATCTGGTCATTCCAGATTTATCTGCACAGAATCACAATGTATGCCTAGAAATAGCATTTGTCTCAGCGTACCTTGGCATTCTTCTGAACCTGAAAGCACAAAGAAAATCCATCTAAATTACCATTTGTCATCTTCCGATTATTTTCAAAGCTCTGGGCACCTCTGCATGGACCTTTATCATTCCTAATTGTAGAGTGAAAACAAGAAAGATGGAAATAGTTGAAAGAACTTCAGATCACATAACACTTATGTGGATTATGTGGATTTAAGTGACCTAAACTAGTCTTAAACTGACTTTTAAGCTGTTTTTAAGCACAGGTAGTCCCATAGAACTCACGGAGAACCTTAGTACTTTTAAATAATCAAGATTACACACCTGCTCAAGAACCTTGATGTAACAGTGCTTCAGCAGCCAGCTCATCTACCATGTTGTGTGAGAAAGCCTTCTTCCCACTCATGTCCTTTGGTCATGTGGAGCAGGCGGTGCAGCACAGCTCAAGCATTGATCCACTACAGGAAGACTGAAAGATGGAGGGGTACTGAGGGACTCTAATATTCCTCATCTTCTCACCTTTCTATGCCTCCCACACTCTGGCACTATCTAAAGCTATACACGTGTTTCTGATCATATGCCAGTCACTTAGGAGTCACGCAGCTATGCAGAGCACCTTCTGTTCAAATCATGGCTACTTCCATCCCCACAGATAGTGCCATTAGCCCATGGCTTGGAAAGAGCGTTTGATGTCATTTGACGCAGCAGGGGCTTTTCCAGATGATTTAAGGCGTGGTATTAACAAGCTGTGAAAGTAGTTTCAGCTAGCCCTTTTTAGCTATGCGGGTGATAACTTCAAAGCACTGAAAACAGGAGTAGGCGAAGAGAAGAAAAATCTTCCAAGATTCTAGGAGCACGGACAGGAATCCTCAGTATGGGAAAACATGACTCATAGTAACATTATAATGAATAACACCTCAGTGTTATCATGGTATCTGTTGCAAAGCAAAGGATGCAGACACAAAGTCAAGTTCATACACGGCTGCTGCAGTTACTGTGTGTACGAGCCTGCAGCAAAAAAAGTCAAATGTGTTAATTTAAGTTTCACTGCAAATGATTTAAGTGAATGTGTTTCTTCCACATTTTCAAAGGTTTAGATTGTATTTACAGTTGCCACAGCTCAACGGACAGATGATAGTGTGAGGAGCCACAATCGAAAGTGTCTGATCTCTTAATCTATACTGCAGCAAATCTTCAGCACACACAGGAGCCTCAGTAAGCCTGAGTGATGCTCCTCAGTCTACTGTTAGATCGTTTCCTAATTTTCTGAACCATCAAGTACCCAGTTGCTTACTGTAGCAGCTGTAGACTGTCAGACCCAAGCCTCAGTAGAGATACTAATCATCTTTCTTTTCCTGTTTTGTTTTTATTAAAGATGAATTATAGCTGTTAATTCACAATGTAGAATTTACCTTGCAAATAATTAAAGTAACCATGGTCCTGAAAGCATACTTTGCATGTACAATTAACATATTGACAGGCTTTTGTACAAGCATGCCATTCTAACAACAGCAGAACATCGATGGATATACAACACTGTGAGATGTCATGTCATAGAATACAGGCAATTATTGTGTCCCTTTAGGACACTGTATACCAGACCCTAATACTGCTTAGATCCATTATTGCTAGTGCTATTATATAGGATTTAAAGATGTCTTTACATGATTAAGTTCTTTGGCTTTTAAAGTATTGTTGCTGTAGCCAAGTCTTTCAACACGCTGTTAGATACAAGCACTTTATCCTTCTACTGTTTAATATTAACCATAATATCATGTAATAAAATTGAAACAAAAGTGCCATAGGCCTAATTGTACTGTCACAGCCATGTAAATCAGAAATAGCTTCAGTAAAGCTACTGTTATTATGCTGGTGTAAAATTGATGTAAATTAGAAATGACTTGGATGCTGTAGCTCTACTTTCAGATAATACAGTGCAAAGGCCTCCCTTAAGCTCCCATATAATGACTTATGAATGAAATAAGCCATTATTACCTCATCATATTGTATGGTATTGTATCAAAAAATAACAATATTTGTAAGGGATGACATAATCAGATGGATCAAGGCAAGTTAATGTTACGGAGCCAGATTCTGAGCTGTATTGACTTCAATGAAGTTAATGCAGATCTACGTAGATTTGACTGCCATCAGGATAGAACTTGCCATCACTTCCATAAAACTGAATAGCTTAGCTGTTGCAAAATGTAAAATGCAAAGAACCTTGACTTTATCTTTAGGAAGATTTTTTGGTTTGCTTTGCTTTGCTTTTTTTCTGATATGATGTTAGGCTATTGAACAGCATCAGAAAGGAAACGTGCCAGACGTGGTGGTTACATCAAGAACTATGTAGGAAACTAGTAATGAACTCCAGGAAAATAAATAAGGGCAAGTTCAGGAAACGTAAGTGAAAATGCAGCTCTGGTATAAATTGAATAATAAAATTCCTGGTCATATTTTTCCATAAATAGTGGTTTGGGAATTTGTCATTCACCTTATTTAAAATTCAGAAATATTAAAGGTACAGGGTTCTCTCATTATAGAAGTAATAGAATTCTAGCTATTACAGGGTTAGGGTAATTTAAATAGCTATAGAATGCATTATATCAATAAGTGGAACATCTGTATGAAATGTCCACCTGCTGATATACTACTCAGCGTACTTTACAATGAAAGGTACTTAATCATTTTAAGACATCTTCTAATGAAGTCTTATCAGGATTAACATTTTGAACACAAACACTTTTAGGCGTTAAAACTTCTGCTTTAAATGAGATTGCATTGTCTTGTTTACCCTTGTTGATTAATAAGCAATCTGTTAACTGTTAGAACAGCCCAATTGTGCCAGTGAAAGTAGATTAGTAATTCAGCTATGTTTGTGAGTTTAATCATAATTTCTCTTGAAGGCTTTGAATAAAAAAAATCAGTTTCACATTATCCATGGGCAAAGAAAAGATATATATTTTTTTAGATATGTATACCCTTGTTTGACTTCAGACTTTCAGCTTAGTATTATTGATCAAGCATGTACTTCCAGCAGCAAAATACTTCTTTGAGGTACTTTTCTAAGTATAAAATCCAATTTTTAAAGAAAAAGTGATATGAAAATAGAATCATAGAATCATAGAATCATAGAATGGTTAGGGTTGGAAGGGACCTTAAAGATCATCTAGTTCCGACCCTCCTGCCATGGGCAGAGAAATTCTCCACTACACCAGGTTGCCCAGAGCCTCATCAAAATCTGGAACTTGATTCATTTGCTATAGAATGTTATTGTTTTGCTAGTAAAATTCAGGAGGGCAGGTCCTGAATTTTTATCAGTTAATGCTTGTGAACAGCTTTGAGAGATGTAGTGGCTTTTTTGCTTGCTTATTATGATTAACTGGAAGCTTAAAGGCAAAAAAGATGATAGTTCAGATTTTCTCATGGGGTCATGCACTTTCATCTGTGGCATCCCACAGAGGGAAACAGATGTTGGCATGTTACAATTTAAATTATCTGGAAAGCTCCCACGTGTGGAGCACAGTCCTGTTAAATTCAGGAGTAGCATACGCCTATGATAATAATTGAATACTTGAACCATGCAATGCTATAAAAGTACAGGGTCTCAGAAGCTGGGCTGAAGCAGTCATTCTCAGAGGCATTTGTGCCTTCTGTACCCCAGCTTCATAGATACTACTATTAAAACACCTTATGAGTTACTAAAATCTTGATATGATGTTGAATGGCAGAAGCACCCCATGCCATGAGCTGCTTCCGGGTGGTAGATCTCTCTTTAGTTTTGACGTGTAGGATGCAATATTTATGCTGCTATTCCACAATATTCTCAGCACAGCTACTTAGGTTTCTGGTGTAGAACCAACATATCCTGGCTCCCATGAATGTTCAGCAATATTAGGGCTTGATGATTGTTACCCATCATGCAGTTCATGTCAGACTGCATTCTTGGTAGTACTGAAATCAGTATAATGAAATAAATGCAGTCAATAACCCATCTTTAAGAAGGACATAATTATCATAGTATTCCTATATTTACTTGAATATGGAGCTACTCTGGAAATATTTTAAGATAACAAAAAACATCTGTAAAGAATTTTATACTGAATTTTCCCCTTCCTTAAGGTTTCTCCTCTGACAGGGTACATATGACCCATAATTTCTATTGTTTTTTCTAAAAATATATATATTCTCATTGCATTAATACAATTTCCCCCTCCCCTGTTTTTTCCTGAAGAATTTCTGAAGCTGATTACTGTCAGGGTAACTCATTTCAGATGTGTCCTAGTTGAATGAAAAAAAAAAAAAAAGGAAGAATAAACCAGTCTACACCATAAAACTTTCAACATTATTGAGACAGTTAGCTATGTATGGCATTTGTTTGAAGAAGACTGAAAGCTTTACTCCTTCTGTGCTATTAAGATTAAGATGGTGTTTATCTAAAAAAAACCCACTAAACTTTGACACTAAGTATCGGAATTTATGGAAGAGCTGGAAAAAACTATCGTAAGACAGAGAGCGGGCACCATTAAATATCAGATAATATTTAATGTTTTAATTTGCAGAGTATTCCACACTGACATCTGTTGTTTGTCTGTCCTGCAGTCTCTCTGCTGTGAGATCAAACAGAGACGCCGTGGGGTAGCCTCTGTGCTGCGGTTATGCCAGCACCTCCTGGATGACCAAGAGACCTGCAACCTCAATGCAGATCACCAGTCCATGCAGTTGATAATCGTAAACCTTGAGAGGAGGTGGGAAGCCATTGTCATGCAAGCTGTCCAGTGGCAAACAAGGCTACAGAAGAGACTGGAAAAAGACTTGGTGAGTGATGCTTGCTTTAAAAAGATTTCATGTGGTTTCATTCTTGACAAGAGACACTTTTTCAGTGCAAGACAAACACATGTCTCAGAGTGTTTTCCTCTGACTGAAGATGCCATTCCTAGCCTTTACTGCCAGCAAGTGAAGCTTTAGTTTTTCTCAAACTGTTGTATTCTATGGACAAAACTGATTAATAAGATAAACTCACAATATACATCTTCCATTTCTTGGATATTTAACCTGATCACATTTGTTCCTGTCAAGTAATGAAAGCAATCTTCAGTTACCAAGTTGCTCAATACCTAACAGAATTGGGCCCAGAGACATATTTCACTGTTTGCAAATATATTTCAGAAAAAGTATTTTCTTTGTAAGTAAGACTGCTTTTAATTAGCAGCCCAGCAGTAGCTGTGTATTTCACGCAGAATGCCATGGGTATGTGATTAATATACAAATCTGTGTTATTTGAATATAAGTAAAATGCATTAATTTGCTTTTATCTCAGGGAAATGATTCCTAAGAGGCAAAATAGCATTCTGCTTAAACCATCCATTAAGTGGCATAAATTAGACAGGTTTTCTGCAGCATAAAACTATATTACAATGCAGCATCTACATTTAAACAATAAACCATAGGGGGAACAAAATAATCCCTACTGTAACACCATCGACTGTAATGGATGAATTGTCTCAGCATGTTTTGTGCTATCGTAATGCTGAAGCCTGTATACTGCAGCTACGTTGACAGCAATGATAACCCTATGTAGTGCATATATTGAAGCGCCTTGATGAGATTTGGGATCAAATTACATATATTTAGCTTGCATAATTTTTTAAGTCTATATCAAGCAAATAAAAGGAACAAATGCTTGACACTTACATGCTTCCTAACAGTGAAATACTACTTTTGACTTCTTTTTGTTAAAGTTCCTTTAGAAAAACAACAGAAACTGTAATTCTCTTGGCCATTTATGGTAGTGTAGTATGAAGATATACAAGACGTTGTGCAGAAACACTAGCAGTTCCTGAGTGAAAATACTGTTAGTCTAAATGAGCCAAGAAATGGTGAGTTGGTGAGGAGGATAGTGTGGAGAAGTGAACCATTGAAGGTCATAATAATCTGTTGCCTGCCTACCTTTATGAAATCTTATAAAGTAAGAGTGCTTCTCTGCCTGTTTGGTTTATTGGCTGCTTTGCTTTAGGCATTGAGATGGAAATGGGACTTGAAGAAGGAACAAGGTTTGAATATACTTTCAGGCCAAGTCAAAAGGGGCATGTCTCTGTATGAGGTATCGTGGAAGGAAGATATCATTGAAAAGCTGATGGAATGTCAATGTTGCTGTTGTAAGCCTGGGACTAGTCAACTGAGAATGTAAGAAGTGCAGAAAACTGGGGAGAGTCAGTTAAGCCCTCAAAAATTTGATCTAGTTGGAAGAAGTGTAAAAATGATGAAACTACATGTGATTGTACAAGGGTAGAGAGAAAATATTATTTTTCAGCCTTTCCTTATACATTTGTGTTTAGAGAGGGAAGTATCAACTAAAGAGGAATGCTATTGGAAACCACCAAGGAGATCAACTGAGTGTTTTCACTATATGACCAGCAGAAAAAGGTCAAATCTTAATGCTCATAGAACTAGTGAGAGCTGTAGATGGCACAGCTGATGCAGATAACCAGAGGGAGAACAGTTATACTGACAGAGTATGAAGAAAAGAGGGGGTTTGGGGAGGACAGAGCAAGAGTTCCATTGTCTGTGCTTAGTTTATGTTAATGAACACTAAGAAGGAGATATTCAACAAACAGGTAGAACAACGGAGTTAGATGCAAGGCAGTTTACCTGAGCCCTCAGTCCAGAAACTGGGAACTTCAGGTATCTGAATGTATATTATCATGTAAAAAGGAGAAAGAGAAACAGGTAAGGAAGAAGTCTTGTTTGAGTCTCATGTAAAGCAGGAAGTACGATTAGCAAAAATCCATAGACGAGGTAGAAAAAGAATCTAGAGAGCATAAAAAACCAAGGTAATAATTTGTTGAGAATCTGATCAAGTGGAGTCAAAAGTAAAACAGAAGCTGGTAAAATAAAGGTCATGAGAAAATGTTACAGAAATTTCAATGAAGAAGCAGAAAGAAGATGAATAGAAACTAGAGGTAGGAGTTTCAAACAATACAGTCACATTTAAATGAGAAGAAAGCCAAGAAATAAAAGACAATGAATGCCATCTCACCAGTGGCAGAGTGACAACATTCTTGAGTTTTGATGGTAATGAATCTGGGAGAGCAAGAAGTGAGAACAGAAGAGAAGTCAGCAGTGAAGTACACTGGGCAAGTGAATGGGGTAGAAGATAAATATAAGACAGAGTAATAGAAAATATTGTTAAACAAAGAAAGAAAATGTAATAGTAAAGCTGTTTAATTCTCTTGAGAAACACTGGTTATATTTTTGTGACAGTTCCATCTTCAGAATATTTTTAGTCATATCACTAATACATTACCTCAATTGTTCTAGTAAACTCTTGGTTAGTGCTACACAAAATGTCTAATGAGCTGACCAGCAGTAGAAAAAACAGTGAAATTTTGGAGCTTCAAGAATAAGTGTGTGCAATATTAGGCAACAGCCAAACTGAAAATTAGTTCTCGGAATCCTGAGTTTTGGTTGCTAGAGGCTGAGTATCTGTTGAGTCTGTAACTGCTTGAGAGAGATTGGACTGGGTTTCTACTGCATTTCTCTAAAACAAAAAGTAGCACGAAGATGATGAACTGCCTTTTTCATCTACAAAACTTATCATTGTGTTGTAGTAAATATACATCTTCTGCTGGACTTGGAACAGAAAAAAGTAGCATTTGTGAGATAGCTTAGAGAGTACTGAACAGAGGTCCAAGTTGCTGTAGTGAAAGCACATTATCTCCTTTTGCATGTGGGCAGCTCCATGTGGAAGCAGTTTGCTTTTTGTAGCTGCAGTTACTCTAAAGAAACTGTTAGGAGCTAATCAGAGCTTAGCTCTCCTCTTGCAGCAGGAGCAAAGTAAGTCTTGTGTTTCTGTTTGGGATTGCAATCGATCAGGAAGCGAGGCTTGGTGAGGGCAGGAGTACGGCACCTTGCTTGATATCCGGACACTTGGGACTTCACAAGGTTCGTGCTGCTTTGTTCCCACTTGGCCTGAGATAGTCTGGAGTTATTTGCTGGGCTGAGTCAACTTTCACTGGGCAGGGAGTGTGGCATTCTTTCTGCTGAGAAAGGGCAGCCATTTAGAGATATCATGATGCTCATCTAATTTTCACTGTGGGCTGTTTTATTTTGCAACCTCTCATCCTAGGCTTGTTTATAATAATATGATTCTTTGAAGTATGTCATTATCTAGAAGTTTCTCACATTGATAAAACTATCTGTATTCTCAACATTTAAAGATGCCCCAGCCACTGCAGGATTCGGGTTTCTTTGTCTTCGCTGGCCTGAGTTGGCATGTTCTAGCCTTCCTTTTCACTCAGTTCCTGTGTAGTCATTTCTTGGGTAGGTACCAGGACAGTTTCTTCTGCTTCCCTATCTGTATTTGATGGTGTGCCAGTCTTGGCACATAAACAGTGTCCCTTGGTAACAAGTCTTTATTTGTGGTTGCTCACAAAATACTGTAATTTATGAAAACAAATGAAATGTTTTTATCCCCTAATGGCATCTGACTCATTCATGGCATCTGACTTTGACAGTAAATAAAATAGCCCAAATGATTATATTGTCTCGTATAAGTACAAGAGTCACTTGCATCTTCTGTCTCCTTAATTTGTGTACCGGGATCCTCCTTTGTCCTGTTTCTGCCCCTTGTTGCAATCAGTCACTTATCTGGGCCACTTATAGCATTACAAAGGTATGCTGGAGTTAACCACAAAAGGCTTTTAGGTTTCTTTTGAATTGTTTGTCTTCATTGATGGTTTTCAGCAATATTTAGTTTTGCTCAACTTTTGCAATAGTGGGCACCCTAAGTTTATAAATAAGTAACAGGAAGATATTAACATGTTGTCGTGGTTTAGGCTGGCTGGCAACTAAATGCCACACAGCCACTCGCTCACCCTCCCTCACCCCCAGGGGATGGGGAACAGAATTAAAGAGGAAAAGGGAAGGAGACTCATGGATTGCGATAAGAACAATTTAATACCACTGCTAATAATATACAAATATACAAATATACATATATGTATATGTATATAATGCATATATACATATAATAATATATACAAACAAGTGATGCATGTTGTAATTGCTCACCACTCAGTGACCAAGGCCCGTCCCGTCCCAGACTAATAATCCTGAAACAGATAAGTCCTGACACTGCAATCCTGGATGAGTGAGAGACCTGAAAAAGAGAGAGAGCACGCACTCCAAGAGTCCGAGAGCGAGAGCCCCCAGAAGAACAAAATCCCTTCTTTCCAGTCAACCTTCGTTTTAATACTGGGCATGGTACTGCACAGTATAGAATACTTCATTGGCCAGTTTACCCCTCAATCCTCAGTCTAAGTTCAAATCATAAAGGGAGTTTTGAGCCTTTTGTCCCGGCTATGCTCCCCCCTGTCCTGTTGTGCTCCTGCACACTGGCAAGAACATGGCAGTTGAAAAGTCCTTGAGGTCTCAGTGCCAACTATAAACATCACTGCTCTGTCAGCATTCTTTTCATGACTAATCCCAGACTAAAGCCAAAACAGAGAGCTCTTCTAGCTGCTAACAAGAACTAACTCTGTCCCAGCTGAAACCAAGAAAAATCTACTACAAGCACCTAAAGTCTAGTAAAAGGTGTCCTTCTCATAAACCAAAAGTTGTGTCTAGAATGTAAAATTATCAGTAAGAATCACTCCAGAAGGATGAAATGTGGTTAGATTCAGTAGGTTAATCTAGCTATGAAGAATGAAGTATTCATGCAATGAAAAAAAGATTACTTTTAAAAAACAGTAGGACACACTAGCCTGTTACTGGAAGCGGTCCTAATCTGTTATAGCAAAAGAGGTTTTTATTTCCCC